CTGGGGGGACGGGTCGGCCGCGGTGGCCAATGTCTGGTTCACCGTCACCAGTAGTTGCCCCTGCCCGGAGGAGGAGGAGGAGGAGGAGGAGGTTCGAAGTTCGAGTTCAGACCAGCTTTAGCCTCTGAGAGGCTTCTCGTCGCCACGGCTGGATCCCGTTCTAAATTCTGGTCGAAACGCGCCCACGGGCACGATGAGGGGCGATGTGTAAGAGGGGGAGGAGGGAGGGAGGGAGGGAGGGAGGGACGGAGGAGGGAGGGAAGGAGGGAGGCAGGAAGCAAAGGAGGGGGAGGATGAGGAAGACAGGCACCACGAACTTCCAGTCTCGGAAGGGTGTGCGGAGGATGAGGGGAGGACCGACCCATCGTTGCACGAGGAGGAATGAGGAGGAGGGTGCCCTATGTATTCGGATGGCTCTGGATACTTCGTGAGCCTTCTGAAGCCTTCTAAACCTGTTCAGATCAGAGTCAGGGGGGGGGCGAACGGTCATTCATTGTACATGGGTGCGTGGCTGAAATGAAATTCCGCGGGGCGGATTATACTTGTTTGTTGTTTGTTTTGTTGTGTGATTGTATATAAGTGTTTGTTGTTGCTTGTTGATATTGTTGCTGCTGTTGTCGGATTCTCTTTTGTAATGGATCATTATTGCTGATGCCCCGCCACTCCAATACACTTTAGTTTTCTCAATCCGAGTGCTCCTACCAGGGCTCGCACCCATTCATTTCAAGGCAAAATCTTGAGGTTCAGATTGGCCCTCCGGCCCCCGAGCAACAACAACGGCTCCCGCCTGATACTTCTTTTCAATTCATTCAAATTCGCCCTCTCGCGCGGGACGTCTTCACACATTATCGAGAAATGGCGTTTTCGCCTTGAATTTCCTGGCAGTTCACTAAAACGCCACACTCCCAACACTCAATGATCACATTCTCGCCCTGGACTTCCTCACGATTTATTCAGGAATCGGACTATCGCTACGTAGAGACGTGCGCGCTGTTCATGCAAAAAGTGACGGTTTAGCGACCCGCCCTCTCGACCCAGTCGTCTCGGCCCGCCCGCTCGACCCGCCCGTTAGGGCCCGCCCCGCCCTCCATCCTGTTGTCCCTTCCCTCCTACCTCCCCTCACCATTTTTGGAGGCTGCGCCAACTACGCGTGGCCGGCAAGGGAGAGGACAACGCGGCCGATTCCCAAAAATGGATGAGGGATGCCAGCGCGGGGTGATTTTTCCGGATGTCCTTGGACCATGTTTGTGGCAAACGACGTGTAGCGTCACTCTGGATAATTGAAGACAAGGTGAAATCCAACAAGACAAAACCAAATCGTCGTTGTCGTCCCAAGTCGTCTCTCTCATCATAATAGTGAAGAAACGGCTGAGTCCGCAAACGTCGGGCAATTATTTGGCCCATGGGCAGAAGGGGTCGAAGATCAATGTGTACCAATCGGCCTTGGTATCAAAGCGGAACCGTATTTCCATGTGACTCTCGTATGCATACGTGCCTGAACGTAGTTGCCGCTCCGTCTCCGTGTAACCGTACATACTTGATCCACTTCCAGCATAGGAGTCAGCAGCATTGGAACAGCTTCCGTTCGTCCCATTCCTACGGAGCTCAGGCATTTCCGCTGTGGAACACCTCGCGAGGATGAGTCTCAGATCGTGTGCGACGTCAAATGCTGCAATCAGATTTGTCTCGCCGTGCTTGATTTCTTTATCATCGTTATGCTGGGGTGCGGGTGTATCCACCGGCATATCAGTCACGGCGTCGTGACTGTAGCCGCTGAGGCCGACGTGGGAGTCGCCATCGTACGAACTGAAGTGGTTGAGGCACATCTCGGGCAGGTCTGCATACAACGGAACTGCGAATACATAACCGGTGTGCTCGTTAATGTTGTTCTCAGCGTACCATATGCTGGCCCAAAATGGGCCTCTGCCTCGAAACGGTATCTGAACACCGATGTACCGGCCATTGTGCATGATGTCGAAGATCGGGCCGTAGATCTTGCCTTTCTCCAGCGCGATTGCAACTTCTGTCTTCTCGGGCCAGAGGCGGTCGACTGCGCGACATTGAGCCGAACCATGTAGAAGGGCATAGAGGAAATCGTCGACGCGGATGTTATGGAAGCGACTGCAACGATCCTTTGTACCAATAGGAAGTGCCGCCACGATGGGCTCGAAGAACTTTTTCTTGCAATCGTCCACGGTCGCCCACCAGTCGGTCATGAGCAGGACAGCCTCGTCGGTCAGGGTCCGCGCGGGTTGTGCCACCGGCTCTCTGTCCAACAGTAGGTCATCCAGCGCCGTCTGGTCGGGTGGGCGAACTGGTTGAAGGCCTGGAACCTTTGGGGCTTTCTGTTCAGCAGGAGGAGATGAAGAGCTGGCACCTGCAGGCGTCGCCTTTGCATTGGGCATCGGCGACATTTCTGCTGCTGGTGTTGCCACAGGCTCAAATTCGCAGACCTCGTACTGGCTGCGTGGCGCCGGCAACTTGACCAACTCTGGGCACGTCCAGTTGCGGTTGGATGGCCACAGTGGGCTGCCCCCAACCGTGCGCATAACCATAATGGCCAGTTATGGCACGGTCTCGGGGCACATGATGGCGCCCTGCTCCCCGAGCCAGAAGTGACAACCGGCGGTCATGGCCGCCCGCATGTTGATGACCACGTCGACCTGCTTCTTCTTGTGCTCGAATTTTTATCCAGGGATAGCGGTGCGAGGGTCGTGAGTGTCATGGCGCACGAAGGAGCTGGAACTCTAGAATGCCTCGCGTCGTGTGCGACGGTCGGCTCTATAGCCTGGAACAATACCGATTGTCCGAATGCTCGTCCAGGCACCCCTCGTAGCGCCGCGGTGCCAGAACTTGGCGTCCGTCCAAGACAGACGCTTCCAGCCCACATTCCATGGTAGGCCGTTGCGGCGCACGGCGGCGTGATCACCAGCGGCGCGGATAGCCAGCATATGATCCCACGCGAAATCCGCCCCCTGCATCTCGGGGTTTGGATGGTGGACAAAAACCTGGAAACGGGCCTCTTGTCAAGATGCAGTTGCAGGGCGCGGAGGACGGAGATCACGCAGTACTCTCGAGTGTCTTCCCATGGAAGGCCAGCACCATTTGATTCATGCGTATGTGCGCGCGCCGCACTCCGATTGGGACCGTGGACTTCGCGTGTGAAAATCTCAGACACGATGTGACTGAAGGACTTGTGGTGATTGGCCACGGCCCATGTGTCGATGCTGTCGCACTGCCATATGTTGGCACGACGGTCCAAGAACTGGTTCAATCCATTGCGGCCGCTGTTGTCATGGCGTAGCGCGGTCGACAGGGCCTAGCTGAATCTGCGTGGAGTTCCCATGCAGTGACCAGGGTAGTTGCCCAACTAGGAGGGGTAGTCCCAACTGTTTAGTAGTCACATCGCACAATGTAACCCATGTGTAATCTGTGAAACAACCACTGTTCTGAAGGTCTGGAGCGTGCTTGATCACGTAGTCGTCGTAGTATCGACTCTTTGCGTAGTCGTGACTCGTCTTGCTCGATTCGCACTGGCCACGGCCGCGAAGTATCGGAGGGGCCCGGGGAAACAGGTCAGATACCTTGCCACGAATGGCGGCCTCCCTCGGGGTAGTGCCAATCTTGATCTCTTCAGCGATCGTCATCGCGGTCTCGTGCTGCGATCGAGCACAGCAGTCGTGTGCACCCGTGAATTGTTACATCGTAGCCTCTGTAGGTGGGTGGTTGGTTGCGGGAATGTCCTCCGGCATCCCAGTGTCTCCTGCTGAAGGAGACGTCGGAACCGGTGGTGGTGTAGGTACGGTCGCCGATGCCACGGACACTGCGGTCGAAAGTGGCAATGGTATCTCCCATGCTGGTGTAGGAGGCGGCTGCTTGGGAGTCGTACCATCCATATCATCGTCCTGTGGCAGATCACGCGCAAGGGGAGCAGGCGGTACAAGTACACGTGTTCCAGGCACAAAAGACGGAGGATCAAGAGGAGCCTCTGTCTGCGATTCGGCCTGGGACTGGAACCACTTGGTGAGCTCGATGATGTATCCCTCGTTGACGACGCGCTCACGGTTGAGGATGCCTGCCTCCTCGCAGGCACGGTTCGGGGCAGTATCGGAAATTTTGTTGACAAGTTCTTTCAACACCAACCAGGTAACAGTGTGACGTACCATGCATGTCCTGTTGCACGCCTCCTTGAGGAATATGCGTTCAGGGGAAGAATACGATACCCAGGGAACGTGTTGACCATGCCGCTGATGCGAAGAATGAAGATATCCCAAGACGTGTAATATTTCTCTTCCGTCGGAGTATGGAGCGCCTTTCCATCCCAATATGTACCGCATGCTGCAATAATGGCCTGAGCGCGCGCAGGTGGTGGATCATCATGTGGTGTAGCCTCCGCTGAAGTAGAATCAGGGTTTGAACGCGGGCCAAAACAGGGAGGTTCAGCCTGGTTATGGAATGCCTGAGACGTCGCTGTCATCCATATAACCAACTCGTGCTCTCCCAGGGGCTGCAGGTGAAGAGCTCGAAGTCCCTTCGAGCGTTGGAATTGCGTGACTTGCTCCAGGCGAATGCGGAGTGCTTCGCGCATCTCCTGCGCCTGGGTATGGCCCTGGTAGTCGTTGACGGGCTGGATCAGCGGGTGGCGGAACGGGAGCGGCTGTGTTGGCAGCGAAAGTGGAACCGCACTCAGGTTCCTGAGAGTAGCGGCATGCATAAACTGCTTGTTCAACTGTACTAGATTGTGCCCCGCTTTTTTGTGGATGCCAAGTATTCACATGAGGGCGATCTTGTTGACTGATCCATTGATCGGCAGGACGTACGGGAATACCACGGCCAGTGAACATCTGGATCATCTCTTTCAGGTGGTCATTGAACGTGTCCGGTAAGCCCCGCTGGTGGGCCTTTCCAGGGCACATGACTGTGGGAGAACGGAAGCAGTTCAGAACCTCAATGCAGCGAGATATGTCCACTTTGACATGTTCTGGAATAGTGAGAAGAATACTGCCTGGTGATGAAAACCAACGCTTCTCATTTTCTGCAGGTGACGGTGAACGAGCACG